TGTCAAGAAACTTATAATGAAAAAGTAAAAGCATTTCATGTGACCGATATGGAGAATAGAAAAACCTACCCATATGTAGAATTCTTAGAAGTGGATGATAAACAAAAATATAAATAAAATTTTAACTTTATTTCTTTGTTTAATATCTCTAAATACTGTAAAAGTGGCATAAGTGGCATAGACTTTCGTGTAATCGTTAATGACTTTTGAAACAAGGATAAAACAGAAAATTGTTTAACGCGTCACTATTTGAAATTATTACAAATACGGGTCCTGTTCATTCTTAAGAATCAAAAATTTTCGAATCACAAATACACAAAAACAAAATATTTTTGTTTAAAAAATGTCTTTCGAATGTATTATCGAATTCGAACAGAACGCGTTCAACAAAAGGAAAATATTTCGAGGTAATGAAGGAGTCAGAAAGGGATGAAGACGAAAAAGAAAGATTCTGTTGCCAGAATTTCACGCGGTCATTAATTTGCTTGATGATGACGAGATCAAGATGAAAGACATGCATATTCCTGCACCATTGATCTCTCAAGAATAGATGATGAACTGGAAAGTCGAACCTAGAAGGTTGAGGTGATAGATATGAAGATGCGGTGAAACCATCTCGCATCACAGATGAAAAATTGTCGAAACCGCTAAATTGATAGTTCTCGAAATCAACAACGACGTATTAATGGTTATCTTTAAACATATTATCAATGATAATATTTAAAATATGCTTAAAAATGAAAATGTAGGAAAGGAAACTGGAAGCATCATGTGTACTGACAGAAGGTTCAATGTCCTTTTCACCAAGGTTTTCTTTAAAGAACTCGATTACTATGTCAAAAAATGAGAATTTGTGAAACTGTACCCTACCACAAATCGAAGATGTGATAATCTCCGAAATCAATGAAATCGAAAACATGCCACCACCAAGTATGATATTAGAAGACATAACGATAGTCATATATTCGATATGATGCCAAATGGATTACAAGATATGTTACAAAAAAAATATCAAGGAAAAGTAATATATGAAATAGATGCCATCAAATTATTAAAAACTGTAGTTCAAAATGGTCCCATCAAATTGTTGTTATTAATAGAATTTTTTTTTATGTATGCGAAATTAATCTTTAATTTTAGAATACAATTCCTTTGCTTCAGCATGTCCTTTTTCAGCAGCTTGTTTCAACCATAAAATAGAATGTTTAGTGTATTCTAAGTTTGGGGCATTTTCTCCTTTTGCAATTTCTTGTTTATTAATACACAAGAGACTCAAAATGTATTCAGCTTCTGGATATGATCCCAAATCAGCTAGTTCTAGGAGAATTGGAAATATTTCTTCATCATATTTTTTTTTGTTTTGTCTATATTTTTTAGAGCAAATTTTAAAAATAGAGTTCTGCTGATCAGGAGTGCTTACATTGACAAGTTCAGGTAAAATAGAGATATGCGTAAAGTACTTATAATCCTCCATTTGTAAAAAAAAAACTTAATTTCTTTTGAAAATCTTTAGTCTTCTTTATATAAACTTTCGAATCTATACAAGCTTATAACCTGTCATTCTAATTAAATTTTGCCAATTGTTTGAACTTTTTCAGACAAATATTGTTCAAGATTCGTATTGTTTAATAATTGAATAATTGTTTAATTAATTACCATTTAGAATTTAAAAGACATTAAGAATTTAGTTCATTTACAGTAGGAATTATATGTACATTTTAACTTTTTATTGAAATCTATTGTTTTTAAACCTTCACTATATATATAAATATTTTATTCTCGCTCGGATCAATATTATTGAACAATGAAATTAATTTTATGATAATTTTAATTGATTGCAATATATATACATGTGACAAAATTAATTGAAACCCAATTAATGACGAAATAATTGCAATTAATTTCAATTGATATTAAATGTTAATTGCATAAATAAAACTTTCGAATTATTTGTCACGCATGGTTGCGCATCAAAATAATTTATGTGATAATTTAATTACTGTATTGTATTGTCTCGAAATCATTAATTTAGTCGATTACATTACTAAAGTTGACGCAGTAATTAATAATTCATCTTTTGACGCAAATACGTAATTTCTGCAAAAATTGCAATTAATTGACTAATTGTAGCTGCGGTTATTTCCATTTGTTCACTTGGAACTTATGGGTGTATTTTGGCATCTTGGATTAAATCGATATAACAAGCTTCCTTCAATGATATAAACAACTCTTATTTAGCACATTTTATAATTTTGAAAGCATTTCATTCTCCGACGACATCAAGATGCTGTCGGAGAATGAACAAGTTTAAGATAATGAATTGTTATTCATTTCATTTTCGTTGGAGAACAAAAGTATTTGCGCAGATCAGTATGGTATAGGTTAGCTGATCCGTATAGTATAGGCCGAATTTTTAAATCTATACTATACTGATCCGGCGTTATATATATTAGCGTTAGGGTTAGGAATTATAGATGTTTAGTATAGATTTTAAATTTGGCCTATACTATACGGATCTGCTCACCTATACCATATTGATCCGCTATAATTTTGAGAATGAACTAGGTATAAGATATGCTAACTTTTTAATGAATTGTCGCATTTTAGCTTGAAAATTGTGTAAATTTCAGTAAAACCGATAATTCGTAACTCTGGTAAACATAATTTTGGTAGAATTAATTCGTAACTCTGGTAAACATAATTTTGGTAGAATTAATTCGTAACTCTGGTAAACATAATTTTGGTGATAGAGGTAAAATTGATTCGTAACTTCGGTAAAAATAATTGCTCATAACTCTGGTAAACGTAAAAAGACATCTAAGACAATTACTGTTACTAAATTTCTCTAGCCGTAAAATGGCCACATGTTTTGAAAAATTACATCATCATAGAAAATAATAACAGTCCTCAGTACCTTTGAAAATATTTCGTTGAATTTGTGTGAGGAGATAAAGCACTAGACTCAAAATTTAATTGTGAAGCGAACGATATCCTATTAAGTAATAGTTCATATATTAATCAAACTTAATGTTAACATTAATATCACATGACACTATCTCTGCGTCGGTGGACGCAGAGATGTCATGTGTCTCACATATAGTTGCCGCCCAAATCCCAAACTATTATAGTTTGGGTTTGTCCATCCCAAATCCCAAACTCAAGCCCAAACTAATATCTCAAAAACTTTATTAATAATTTTTGTTTAAACAAATAATATATATTTGATATATTTACAAAATATTAAAATTATTTTGTTGATTTGATTTTTTATAAAAGCAATTTGTTTTTTAGGAGTTTGGGATTTGTCCGGGTTTTGCCAGCAAGTATAGTCTCACATACACACTACAATGTATCTCTGTGCCGATTAAGTGTCAGATTCAGGGATTTTCTACTAAATTAATACTGATTATAATCTTGTCAATTGTTTGTTCTATTGATAAAATTTTTGTTTTATTCTTGTTTTATTCTAAATTATATTGCTCTATTCTATTGTTTTAATGTTCTATTTATCTATTGTTGCCAATACTCGCCGAAACTGTATAATCTGGATACTCTACTATGAAATGATTTTACTGAGATGACTAACACTAAGGATAGTACAGTATGTATACAATAGCCACCACCATTAATAACTCAATTGCATTAAAAAAGAATTTATTACCATTAATCGCAAATTTACAAATGCATGATATAATTTTTTCGAAAAATACAAGAACATTTTAAATTACTCGTTCAAAGTATCTATATATTGATATGCTAAGCAAATTATTTCTAAATAGATTTTTTTAAAACTTTAAAATAAAATATTTTAACAATTATTAAACCAAGCTTGATAAAAAAATTTTTATTTTAATTCTATATACTGTAGTTATAAAATTAAAATAAAAAATTTTATTAAATTTAGTTTAATAGTTGTTGAAATATTTTAATTTAAAATTTTATTTAATTAAAATCTAAAATAATTAAACTTTGTTTTTAAATTGTAAAAATATTAAAAAAACAAAATTTTTAAAATAGTAAACTATTTACTTGATAAAATATAAGTAATATCTCAAATAAAATTATGTTTGATTTTAATTTTTATTATATTTTAATTTGGGACTTATTATTTATACTTCCTAAAATTATTATTTATATCTCTATCAAAATAAAAAATTTTTAATAACCTAATCAAATTTGATAAGCTTTTTTATTTGAATTCTATGAATATATAAAATTCAAATAAAAAAAAAGTTTATTAAATTTGATCAGGTGGTTATTGAAATATCTTCACTTAAAGTTAGAGAAAATTAAAATATTCTTAAAATAAAAGCTGTACTTTAAACTCTCGTGTCAAAATTTTAATATTTAAGATATAGCGCAAGTTATTTGCGAATTTGTGATTATTACTTATATAAATAACTATAAAATATTAGGAAAAAAAATTAAAATTTTAAGTACCAAGCAAAATCCTCTCGACAGATTAAAAAGCACACCTTTTAAGCTTATTCTACATTATTTTTAAGCTCAAATAATTAATACTAAGAGAAGAGTTGGATTTAAAGATTTATCACTTTCATATAGTAATTTCATATTAAAAAATGATATTCGGTTGTGTAACAATACGATCATATTGAAAAACTGTACTAATTGGTTTAATTAGGGAACTATACATATATTTGTCACAATTAGTCGATCAAACACCCCACCGCCGCCCATATGGTGACAATACAGCAATACGTTTGTATATGGTTAATATCAATTCGTAATAATTTTGAAATCCTAGTTATAAACTTAATGAAATTTATTTGAAGTTCAACAAAATGATACGCGTAATTCGATTTGGAGATTAATAAAAATTCATACTAAATTGTGTTTATATTTTTATTGCGTAAAAAGTTATATATGTTAATGTACAAGTTATCTATGAATTCATCCACGAGCCAACATCTTACGGTAGTTACAAGAAACAGAAAGAATAGATTCACCTAGCACATGGCAATTTTTACATTCGTTAAATTTCAATCTATTACGTACGGATCGTCTTTGCAACCTGTTCCTTCCAAATGATTAATAGTAACAACGTTGTCCTTTTCACCCAAATGATAAATAGTAACAACATTGTCCTTTTCACAAACATTGAGAATATTTTGTGGATTACATTCTTGAAGGATGGTCGTAAAGTCTTGGATTTTATCCGATTTGTACCTAAATGATGAATAATTGGTTGGATCGATGGTGATGATAACATCTCCCAATTAAGTTAAATTAAGAATCATTATAGAATTGACTAAGCTCTGGCAATTTGGTTAACGTATCTATTTATTCTCTAAAAACCCCCCTTCAGCCAAAAACTCCACCTGGGATACATGCTTAACTAGGATGAATAAGATGTTGATGTTATTATACTTCATGTTTATCTCTAAATTCTCGTAGATGTTGTATTTAGCATTCAAAAGGTTCTCGCTTGTGAGATCCAAAGAATATTGGATACGGCTATCCTTATTCTGCTGCGTATTAAAGTCATAATAATTACCAACATCTGGGTAAAGCTTTTTCACAAAATGATCGAATGCGTTATAATCGATCTGTTGTACATTTTCAACGTAAACCGAAACTAGAAGATTTGATTCCATTTGAATTGATTTTGATTTTGCTTTTGTTTTATTTGATACTTGAAGCTGCGAGGGGTGGTGCTTTTTATAATTATTTCATTGACGATCATCTGTCGCAATATTAATACAGAAAAATGTCTTGTGCCTTTGTGTTATTTATTAGCAGTCTTCTATAAATGGACCATTCGGACAAAGATCGCGTATTGGCGCAACACCAATATAGAACACTTAAGGGCGGGCTTCACTTTCAGTCTTCACAGCTCCCTTTAATGTAATTTATTTTAATATAAATAAACTTTGTATTACGCGTGTCATTCTCGAGTAAAATTTAAAAATTTATTTATAATCCACTCCTAATAATTCTACGGGATGTGAAAGGAAAATAACTATCATGCTATACAACGTGTAAGAATTTTTAATTGTTGGTTTTTGTTAAAGAAGACAATTTTGAACAAAATATTCTTTAGCATTTCCGAATGTTAATTTATTCGTATACAGATTTAATTTGGAATTCTATACACGAAGGTTTTCTAAGATTAATTAATATATGAAAGGTTATTTTCACAATGAACATAAACAAAGAAATGGAATCTTTCGCGCCACTATCTAAAGTTTATATATATGGTCTTTTGTTTGAAAGGCTATTTTTACAGTAGATTAATATTAGTTAGTCAATAATTATAAAAAAAATTACTATTTCTGCTTAATAAATCTTTTAAAGTATTGCATAAGAATTTTATAAACCTGTATAAAATAGAAAGTGAATGTCTGTATATGAGGAAAGAAAGCCTTTGTTCAATTTGGAGCTCAATTTTTACGAGCTTTATTCGTTGAGTTCAACTTTACGGGTTGATCTCAACTTTTCGGGTTGAGCTCAACTTTACAACTTTGTTGGTTGAGCTTAACTTTTACAACTTTCAACTTATACAGTAACAAGGTACTACATAAGCGCATGATCGTGTACTATACATATTCTCACTAACACAAATACGCGTCTTTTAATAAGATGTTGCATGAAACAGGAATAAGTCTTCTTAAAGTATCACTATTTATGTCAGGATTATTGCTTTTAAAATTATTCTTGTCAAGTTGTGTTTCAAAAATCATTTAAAAATGAATAGACTATTCCGTCGTGTTTTCTAAAGAATTTTCTTAATTGATCAAAATGAATAACCACTTACATGATTAATAAGCATATGTGATAAGAGCGTTTACGCTCTGTCGCATTTACTGGCTTGAGTAACGTTCATCCCAATTTAACTACGTATCTACTATGATTTAGACTAATTTCACCAGTATCTTTATATGTGACTAAGCTCTAGCAATTTGGTTAACGTATCTATTTATTCTCTAAATACATTTGATTAATTCCTTCGTGTATTTATTAGTTTATAAGCTTATTTATATAAAGCTTTTTTGTAGTATTAAATCAATGAATTGTTTCATCAATTGATTGGTGTGATCTTAAATAATACACAATTTAACGAGACAACGATAAGAGTTATCTCTGCCTTGAGATTAAGTCATGTGATTATATTTGTTTGTTTAGACCAAACTATTTAATTTTAATGCGGATAGATTATTTTAATAATATCTCTATAATATAACTCTTTGTTGCTATTTTTTCGATACTTTTCAGGTTCACCTATGCTACAATTCATTTCTTTTTCTTTTATTCAATGTGCCTGTCTCGACATTCACTCTGTTTTTTCTTTTTTTTCCTACTTGTTTTTTGTCATTTGCATCGTCCAATTTACTTGTATTTTTTAATTTATTTTTTGATAATGTTATTTTTTCAATTTCTGAAAATTCTATATCAACAAGTTTAACCCACTCATCACAGGTACCTTATATTTGATAGTTAATAAACCCATTCCATCCTTTAGTAACTACATCTTTAGTATTCACCAATATCACATAACCTTTACGACCATGAACCGCTCCAGCAAAGTCTTTTATGAGTGCTTTAACACCAGGAATTCTTAAGGAAGTTCCTATTATTATTAAACAATCAGCCTTTTTCTTATCGTGTTTCACTATTTTACTAATTTCTAATCCTTTAGGATGTGAATCACCGTAAAGGATTACTGTCAGTTTTAGATGTCCAATAGTATGAGGACGCCTTCCTTGTTTGGTCCGAGCGTTTTCTATTTATTGAAGTGTGAATAATTAATCACTAACT